GGAGGAGCCCTCCTGGGAACCTGCCCGTTCGTTCCTGGACCCGACCTTGTTGGAGGAGTTCTGGTCCCGTCGCCCTGGGACTTCTGGTGCCGTCCCCCGCGGAGGGGGGGGGGGGGGGGATTCCTGTCACGAACTCTTCCTCCTCCTGACCTCCTCTTTGGGCCGGGTTGGCGCAGCACTCCATTTCCCAGCATTCCCGTCACCGACGCTACTCGGTGGCGTCACCACGCGGAATCTATTTAAGGAACTGTCACCGCTGAGCTGTCATTCAGTCATCGTCTCATGAAAGACGCCAAACCAACTCGATCTAAACCAAACCAAAATCAATCCAGGAAAGAGAACTTTCCACACTGTCTGCAATCCATCACGACAGCTCCCTACCTAAAGGAACCACAGTTCAGCCTCGACTCCATGCGAGTGCTGTATTGCCAAAAAGCAAGCTGCGTTCCTGTTAGAACCAAACGCCAGTAACTCCACGTCTGGGTCACACAGCCACGCTACAATTACCTCCGCTACGCTTCAGCTCAGCCCATCCGCCCTGACAGCGATCAAGCTGTACGTGTGTATCAGTTTATGCCCCTTTAGATCTGAAACAGTTTGGTGTCAAGCTGTTATCCATTTTTTGTGATGGCTTCCTTCTGAGCACCTGTTTATGAAGAGCCATGCTCACTGACAATAGTCCTTTTCTCAGGAATCTCCCATCTTTACAAAGGAACTTTGAGTTTGAGTCATAAGCCATGTTCCCACTGTAGGAGCTCCAGGAAATTTGTAGGAAAGAGAGGGCAATATGGAAAATACAATGGCTTAGTCCTCTTAGCCATTGTGTTTCCATGCAAATCGTCCCTTTCAGAACTTTAACACATCAGCATATCACAACTGTTTCTGCATTGATCAGCACCGAAAGGCATCGAATCATTTATAACAGTAAAAGTTTTCTTCTACCAAAGTGCGTTGTAATTTAATCCATTCAGGGGAGAGTGGCTGCGTGATGTAAAAAGTGGAGTTCAAGAACAAAAAGGGTTGTTTGTTGTGGCACTGTATAGGAGACCACAGAGCGCCGTGAATTACGATGTTGTGGGGGAATATATATGTTTTTCAGAAGTGGGAGTTTAGAAACCACAATATTAAAGCATTGTCAAAGTTGTTAATGTTTTGTTCCTTCTCTTCCACTTCAACAGCAACTTTTCCAGTTTTACAAATGCCAGTGGTTTGGCGATGTCTGCTGGTATCATTTTCTACTGATTCACAACCAGTCAGCACCGGTTTACCTAGTCCAGCATGTGATAATGACCACCACTTGTATAGCGCCTTTCAGAGTCAGAGAACTCCAAAGCCCTTTACACTACAGTGTATCATTCATCCATTCACACACATTCACACACTGATGGTGATTAGCTGCATTATAGCCACAGCTGCCCTGCGGGCACACTGACAGATGAGCATAATTTATCCCCGATGACTCATTTTATCAAACTTCTCTCACAGTAAAATTATCAAGATCACTGCTCTTCTAGGAACTTTAAACAGTTTAAAATGTATTCTTGCTCAGATGGTTTAGTAAAATATCATTGATATAATATTTGTATCATTGTAATAATATCTGTCATGACAACAGACCTCATTTAAGCAGATCTACTATTTCATTTGAAAATTTTAACAATGAAAAAAAATTTACTTGAAAAGCAGGAATTGTATTTATTTATAGGCGAGTATATGGTGAAGTATTCAAACTTCTTATCCATGAACATAATTTGTTTGTTTCAGACAAAATCCTGCAGTAGACAGTGACTTGGTAAAACAGAAACAGAAGTTTCATGTTATTTACTATCTGACTTGACTGACAAGAAACTCAAGATAAGGTGGAGACAGGAATATAGACGTGTCTCTGAGCAAGAACCTGTTGTTCATCCAGCCAGTGTGAAGACGGGAGCCTCTAGAAATGTTAATGATTTTTATTATCACTCCTGTTTTTTTAGACTGATTTTTGCAAAAGATTATAACTTAAATTTGTTTGTTTGTCTGTTCACCCAGGAAACACAGATACGTCTGTGCACCCAAACATTATTCAACTCACAAACAATATAGAATTTCCACAATGTATTTTTCCACTCAAAGAGTTTAAAACTTCCTCTCTCATGTCACATTCAGTCGCTCAGTGTTTAATGTACATTCACACATAGCAAGTCTTGGGGAAAATAGTAAATGGCCTGTATTTGATATAGCACCTTCTAGAGTTCTGGAACCCCCCAAGGCACTTTACAAGGCAATCAGTCATTCACCCATTCACACACACATTCACACCCTGGTGGGGATGAGCTACGATGTAGCCACAGCTGTCCTGGGGTACACTGACAGGGACGAGGGTGCCGAGCGCTGGCGCCACCGGTCCGTCAGCCCACCACCAGCAGGCAAGGGAGGTTAAGTGTCTTGCCCAAGAGCACAATGACAGCAACAAACTGAGCACGGTTCGAACCTGCAACCTTTCGATTATAGGGAGAGCTCTTAACTCCTGTGCCACCATCACCCCACAATCCTCATGTGTTTTGGGAATTATGTGCCAAAAACAAGCCATTTCAAAAAGTCCCTGATCGTGATGTCACATTAAGGGAAATTAGCATAGAATCCCTCTTACCTGTCAATGCATGTTGGAGCTCTACTTAAAGCCCCTCCCTGATATTCAATTCAATTCAATTCAAAAATACTTTATTAATCCCAGAGGGAAATTGATTAATATCTGTACTCGGTTTGGTGTGCCAATCACAGCTCTCAATCAATTAGGTGGGTGGGATGTTACTGCGACTGGGCAAAAGTAAGATGGCATTGGCTCGTTTGAAACAGCCTTGGCATCAACCTTGAACTTTTAGAATTGGGCTTTTCTATGAGTCAAATGCAGATGGAGATAATTAAAAGCTTTGTTCAGAAATTGGATGTAGTTGTGTCTTCTTTGACATGGTTTGGCGAACTGCCCTGTTGACTGACATCTGTAGCAGTGAGTACATCATGGTGTTTGTTATTGTTATCCAATAGCATGCAGAGAAAGTTTGAAAGACAACTGTAGATCCTGCTTCATAGCTGAGATGAGTCAATGGGTCATGGCCAGACATTCACAGCAGGTTGGCTTGCCAGCATGGATGTTTTTTTTTTTTTTGGAGGGGAGGGACATGTCACCCCCTACTTTTTCCAAAGTAAACTTTTGTCCCATGCACTTTTTACCATCCAAAAATGATATTACGCTAATTTAAATAGACACTGGTTGAGTTCTAGGACCAAGCGGAAAACAACTACTTGTGTTGAAGCCTGTCTCCCATTAGAACCGTTCATAAGCTCATCTATTGGCTTTTCTGATACTTGCTAACATGTGATTGGCCATTCTTGCTGTCACTCCACATTGTTAACAGGATGTGCCCACTTTTTTTTCCAGCTGCCAGGATGGTATTCCAGAAAGAGACTTTAGAACATCTACCTGATAAATCCCTGCTTGACAAAGCGCTCCCCTCCCCTCCCAGTTTCGCCGGCTCCACTAATGATTCTCAGGTGGATTCAATTCCCTATCGGCCTATCGTCAATCAAGGCTCACGCGTGTCCATAGACAGCCCCTGTTAATCGATGCTAGATAAATGAGAATGGAAGTAAAGAACAGAGCCTCGTTCTTCATCCAGACAGAACAAGACTTATTCATCAATCCCTACGAGGACTACAAAGATATCGTAACTAAAATAGAGACCATGAGCTGATTGAAAAAAGCTGTGTAGCTGGCACTATTTAGTTAGAACGCGCATGGACGTAGTTTTGTCTTAAGAAGTGGGGGGATACAACCGACATGGGGGGGGGGGGGCTTTACAGTATGTTCTAATGGGGAACAAGCTTAAACACAAATGGTTGTTTTCCGCTTGAGGACTTTGCTTTTGCTGAGAAGCTGTGAGCTTTAAGAACATACATTTGTGGTGATCACATGACCCTAAAGTTAACACTGTAAATTGTTTATCACAAATATACATTTAGCAAATGTATATTTGTGATAAACGATTGTACTTACTGTAAAGGTTCCCCACCACCCCCAGTCCTCATATCGGTTGTGTCCCCCCCACTTCTAAAAGCAAAACTACGTCCATGCTTGCCAGGCTGCTTGATTGTGCCTACTCCTCCTCCGTTTAATATCACAAAAAAAAAAAAACATTTTAAAAAACTATGGCATTTTTATAGCTTTACGATGTGTGTATTTGTATTAGGGGTTCTAAAACTGATTTTTTAAGACGGTTAGTGAATTAACTAATCACCACATAACATATTACGACCAAGATATAATTTTTGGAACTAAATTGTCATTTTTTGCTTGGTGGGGTTAAAACAGTAAAAACAAAAAACGAAGTCATATTTTGTTTTTCTTTTACAATGCTTGTGCAGAGTGATGAGTGTTATAATTCAATACATTCTCACTCCCAGCGCAATTAATTTACAGGTTTTCTTCAGACTCCAGAAATAAAATAATCACAGATGCTCGCTTCTTTAAACTTCAAGTAAATATATAGACTATAGATAAAAGTTCTTAACTTTGTTTTCTTCTCTCATCAGAAGACGCATCAAGGATGTGAGAGTTTCAGTAACTTTGACTTAAAACCCGAGAGGTGAGTGTTTCGCCTTTAAGAGTTAAGAAACTTGAAACCTTGTTTGCGCAACAATCAGTGCAGCTCATAGCCGCCAAAGTGTCTAGACTAGCACATGATGGTAGTCAGCCAATGGCTCCACCGCTCTCCTCGGGGGCCCCGTGTGTGTGTGTGTGTGTGTGTGTGTGTGTGTGTGTGTGTGTGTGTGTGTGTGTGTGTGTGTGTGTGTGTGTGTGTGTGTGTGTGTGTGTGTGTGTGTGTGTGTGTGTGTGTGTGTGTGAGAGAGAGAGAGAGAGAGAGAGAGAGAGAGAGAGAGAGAGAGAGAGAGAGAGAGAGAGAGAGAGAGAGAGAGGAAGACGAGGGGGGGAGTGAAATAAAAAAAGAGCGAGAAACGGAGAAAGAAAGGGATCTGGGCTTCAGTTTGGTTTAGATCTGAGAAGGAGAGTTACTCAGCGCCAGATCAGTCCGCTTCCTCCTCTCGCCTGGATTTTCTTTATTATTTTTTAATTTTATTTTATTTTTGGGGGATTTATAACCAGAAAGAAGTGTTTCGTCTCCAAAAGACAGCAAGGATTTTGGTGCACTTTGTTTCTTCTTGGGAATGAATCGCATTGAAGTACATGCTACCAATTGTACCGGTGACAAAAAGCAGATCTGAAGCCGTTAAAAGTGAATCTGTTTCAGGCTGAGACTGACCGACATGGATTATGTGACTTTCTGTTTTATTCACTCCTAGCAAACACAAACAATCCATTCCGCAGCGATCCTGGAGAAAACACGCTTCCACCCGCCTGGTTGTTTACAGTCTGATCGGCCGAATGCATGCATATTGAACAGAATGCTGCATTGCATTTAATGCATGCTTTTGTTACTCTAGATGCAACAAAATAGCCTCCACTCTAATGTTGCGGTTTCGCCACCAGTGCTCTCCAATTGGCTGTGCAAGCACTGCACGGCGTTTCTGTCACCGTCATTAATGTTCTGCAAAGACACAATAATCTGTGGTATATCCGTTAAATAATAATAACAAAAAACCTAATAGATATTCAAGTTGTCGTATGTTCAGGACGAAACGTTCAGGTCTTGTGCGGCGACTCTGGAGAAGCCGTTTGATCCCAGATAAAGAAGGGGGAGATGGAAATGGCAAAACTAGCACCGGAGACGGCTGTAGGGACGATCTGTTCTGCAACAACCCAGAGAAAATTCCCAAAACGGAGTTCAGACCGATGACCCCCTCTGGCGGGTCTGTAGTCAGGGACGTGGGGGGTGTGTGCTCCATGGAGAGCAGCGGCGCTTCGGACCAAGAAGATGCGGGTGCGATGTGCGTCCGGGAGCAACGAGGGAGCCCCCGCTCCATCCAGGACAGCGAGTGCAGGACAGTAACGTGCTGCTTGTTCACTGACCGGGACCACTCCGAGCTCAGGGCTGCAGAGACGGCTCAGGGCGCCAGAGATCCTGGCTCTTGCCACTTCATGTTGAGGAGCCTCGGACCAGGAGGAGACAGCGGCTCTCCCGAGGCGCAGGAGGCGATGCCGCGCGCGGTGCTGGAGCAGGAGCTGAAATCAGCCACGTACTCCCTCCTGAAGAGGCTCAAGGAGAGGGCGCTGGATACTTTACTGGAGGCGGTGGAGTCCAGGGGTGGCATGCCGAGCGACTGTGTGATGATTTCCAGGACAGAGCTGATTTTGGGCGGACATGTGGCGTCCCCTCAGCTGCTGGCGTGTAAAGTGTACCGCTGGCCCGACCTGCAACAGTCAGCCCAGCTCAAACTGCTGTGTGAGTGCAGGAGCTTTGGGGTTCCGGACAGTCCAACAGTGTGCTGCAACCCCTATCACTACAGCCGACTCTGTGGCCCAGGTAAGGACATCAGCACCACAACCTTCTTCTGCTTCTTTACAGATCAAAAAACACCCCATAAAGACACTGATGACGTTTTTAGTTTATATAACAAAACAAACGGACATCTCATGAGCTATAAAATATTTACAACAGTCAGGAAAAATGGCATTATGAACAGCTCTAATCCATATTTGTGAATAAATGTCAAAATATTGATAATGTCTGATGACAGTTCTGTTTACATTAACATGGCACATATTTGAGGTGATCACTAGTTTAAGGCTTGCAAAGTTCTATTTAACTAACTTTTATGTCATAACAGCGCATCACACACGCTGACCTATTAGATCAGTGTTCATGTTACTCGCAAAGCACTTTTACTGTGAAATCTAGCAGCCAGTATTGGTGGTTGTGAATAAGTGTTGGTCAGTACATCTGCTTTGAGTTCTTACAACTGTTTTGAGTTAGTGTGAACTATTAGACTCATTCTAAGGCTTGAACCTGCTGCCACAGGTCGGTTTATTTGCAGAGAGAGAGGGAGGGAGAGAGAGATCTCTAAGGCACAACCTCCCTGACCTATATTAAAGAGATTAAATGTTGGCTGGGGTTGGCCCGTGATGGAAAACCTGGGCGACTCAACCCCGCTGACCCCCCGTGACGAGGCCTGGCTTCGTGTGTGAAGATGCAAGCATCAGTATTTCTGTCACCTCACTGGCACCGGTGGAGGATTTTCCATAACATCCACATTTATTAGAGCCATGCTCCCCATGACACGCACTCCAAAAGACATGAGGCAAGAAATTATTGGGATCCATATTGTGGAAGGCCAAAGGCACATTGTTTGCCTTTGGCTTTCTTGGTTACTTAATCACAAATGTGTCAGTTCTGGAAGAATTATGATGTTTGAGCTGAATAAATCTGTTCCATCTGCTCGTGTGGATTGGAGGCCATGCTGTGGGATCTTCCTCCCCGACTCAAACCTCCGAGATGATGAGCTGTAAAGCAGAGAGAGGCATGAACCCCATATTGGGACTGAGGCTCGTAGTGGACATAACTCACATGCGCTCATGCGTGGCAAGATAGAGCTGGTATTTCTTTCGCGCTATTTGAAGAAGAAGGCCATTGAATGTGGACCTTAATCACTGCTGCTGACAATGTTTGTAAATGGGAATGGAGGAGAAGTCCCTGAATTGAACAGAATAAGATTGGGTTTGACCAAATTCTAAACACGTCTAAGAAAGCGGTTTGAATTGCAGTCAGGTTGACTTGTTTACGTGTGAGTTTTAACACAGGCAAAGAGCTTGAATTGGACAGAAACTTTTCCCTTTTATTTGGCCAGGCTTTATACTTTTCGAATGAGATCAGTTTCAAGTTGCACTTTAAAAGCCCTTTTGTCCCGAGGAGGTCCCCTCATGCTATTTAGGTGAAGGAGTGGTGATAATATACAGTTTGCATACTGCTGGCGCCAGACTGACTCGCTGTGTATCTGAGTGACTGAGTTCAGATCCTGGCAATTACTGCCGCCACTCTTAAAAGACCCGCTGCTATTATGCTTGCCTCCTTCCCATTTCTCCCCCCCACAGACGAGGTCACGGCATGCTCACAAACTTTTCTCTCCTTTGTGCTGTCCCCCTTGTGCTCTCCAGTCCTGTTTTATGAGATAAAGTCGAGCTGTTTGGAGGCAGTGGCTTTTATACTATCTGCTGTTCACATGCTTAAACCAGAAGAGCAAATGTTCTGTTGGTTTTATGAGCTTTTAAACTAGCTTGTGAACTAAAAGATGTCAAATACATTATGAAGAAGTCTGGTACTCTTGACACTGATCTGTTGTCTCATGTGTTGACGCGACTGTTGTGGCTTGAGTCAAGTTGTGCATGAGTGTCCTCTTCCTTTTCCCTTTTTATGAAAGACTTTGATCACAACTTCAAACAGAATCTCATTCAACGTGTGGTATGCATGTAATGCGTGTAATACTATAAAAATACTCAAGTTTGTCTTGTCAGAACACAAGTCTTTACAGTTTAGTACGCAAAGAAGCAGAGCTAGAAGTCTTCATCCGACATTCTTTAACGTCCTGCTTTATTCTGCTCTGTTTAACTGAAGATTTTGATTTACAGAAGACTTTTCATTGTGTAATTTGGATATTTATATTACTGTTTTGTGTGCAGAGTCACCTCCTCCTCCATATTCAAGGCTTTCCCCTAACGAAGAACACAAGCCACTGGGTAAGAGACAAAAACAATAATAAACTCTGTTACATTTGAAGTCTTTCCATGTATTTTATGTGGTTATGAATGTTTTTTTAATTGATCATGCTTGTTTAATTTGGAAGAGTGCAAAGACTTTAAGGTGTGGAACACTTAAAACACATTTTTAAAATAATTATTCCAGATTATAATCAGTCGCTCTGAGTTTTTCATGCAGGCTGAACATGACAGTCTCCTACACTTATCTCCTGCATTAGCCTCTGACAGTGATGGTTTGGTGAAAATCCTGGTTTTGAAAAGCTCGACAGATCTACATCACAATATCACTAAGTATTAATGGACTCACCCATCGTGACTCGTGATGGGGAATGGTGTTGTGGGTTTAGCGTCCAGGAAACAGCGGATAACATCTTAGCAAGTAGAAGCTAACCATTAGCATGCAAGTAGAAGCTAACCATTAGCATTAGCAACACCACTACACAGCAGAAAACCTCCATGCTGTTATTTGTGGAGATAAAACATAAACTTTGAAGTGAGTGAAAGAGTCGCGTTGCTGTTATCCAATCCGGAGCGAGATGTTCAAATATCAGGAAATAAGACCATTGTCTAAAGCTCAGCTATGATGTGGTTAACAACTAGTTCCTGAAAATGGTGCCCCGGTATATTTTCCCCCCAGGGTATGACTTACAAGGCATTAATTCCTACTAGAAACCACTGCAAACAAATCGATTAAATGGGTTTCCCACACCTTTAAATAAAAAAGTGTGCACAGGTTGAATTACAGTTGGAGAAAAAAAGCTGAACACACTTTTAGGTACCTGATAATATTTTTATAGATCAGTTAAAAACAATTTATATCCATGAATCATGTCTGGAGTAAAAAAGCACCACTTATATAACAAGAACACCCAGCAGTAAGCAGTTGCGGAGGTGTTCTTTGCTGCTTGGAGGATCTGGTAAACACAACTTATTTTCTTAAATGCATGACCATTAAAAAGAAAACACTGTTTATAAGTGAAATCTGGTAATAACTATACTCTCAAGGAAGATTGTGATTCCCAGAATATGTCCTGCTTAGAAACCATCTTTGCCAGTCCTGTACTCACATGTTGTTGAGAGTTTGGTTTTTGTAATCGCAAAACCAGACTGAAGCAAATTGGAAGGACTGAAAAAAAAAAAAAATATATATATATATATATATATATATATATATATATATATATATATATATATATAGTGAGTACTTCCATCTCTTTGAATTTAGGGAAATAATCTCCACAGGTTGGGTCTCAAAGTCACTTGGACTAATTATAATGCATATCTCTTACCTTTATTTATCAATAATTTAGCTCAAATGTTTATCTTTTGTTTGGACCACTACAGTCAGTTGGTTTGAATGGTTTTGGTTGTAGCTGTTTGTAGTGGGAGACTACTGGATCAAAAGCCTGAGTACAGTTTAAAGTTTCTGGCTGTGTTTGAGAGGATGTCAACACTTAAAAGTCTGCCAGTGAGGTTACGAGGTCATTAACTGTGTGGTGAAGCCTTTGGTGGGGTTTATTGTTTAGAATAAAAAAAAAATCCTATTATATTGGAATGAAAAGTGAACAGGGGTTGCCATCAGGGGTCATCAGCTGGTTCTAAAAGTACTGGGGAAACATTTTGGCATGACCACTTGATCAGGAGCTGATTTCTGTGTCATTCCCTGCAGATCTGTCTGACTCCACTTTGTCTTACACTGAAAGCGAGGCAGCCAGCTCACCAAACATCACACCGGGGGAGTTTTCAGGTGGGTGTGTTTTTACAACTGTTCTTGGCCTCAAAACAAGGTCTTCCAAATGTTTCTGAACCAAAGTAGAGATTAATGATTACTGAAAAAGGTTATCAACCCAGAGCAGCCGGTTTGGTAAATACTGAGGTAATTTGTCAAACAAGAACATCAGCCTGAGAAATGTAAACATAGTGGGCAGAAACGGCTTTTGTCTTTAGAAATATACGGTTTGAATGGTCAGCTGCTGTCTGCATGGTTGTTCTCAGTGAATGGTGATGTTTACACAGGTTCTGGAGTCAAAACATGCACTCATGCTGGCTGATGCAAAGGGGCTGGTAAAATGATCAACTAACTAGCATTTGTGTGCTTATTTAACGTAGGAAGGACTGATATTTGCAAAACATTTATAAAAATACATTATACACTTTATTTTCCTCTCAGAATAAAGTTATAGCTAAATAATACGTTTTAATTTCTAGATAATTATGTCCTTTGATTCCATGCAGTTCTTCAAACTTAGAACTTTTTGTGGGTTTGAGTATTTAGCTTTAAATTAAGGGTATTTCCATTTAGGAGACAGAGTGAATATTGCTATAAATCATAGTTTTGAAATAATCCTTCAGTCTTGTGTTGAAATGTATAAAAAATTATATCCTCTCATAAAAGATGATGTGCTGTGCAAAGTTAAATTCTGAAGTTCTGGAGCATCACAAACGCATTGATGTTGTGAAATAAAGGTCTGATTGTGACTAGAGGTTTTTAAAGAGGGGCGTCGGCATTGGCTCCAGCACAGGCGGCGTCCCCATTTTTTCAGTATTATTTTATTTTTTCAGAAATATTTGAAACTGTAATGAGATCCAAGATTGCTCAGAAGCACACACGCTTACACCTAAACCTTTACTCGTATGTAGCCTAGCTTAAAAGAGAACAAAGGGAGGGGTTCGGAATATGGCCGCTGCTGTGAATGTGGTCACACCAAAAGAAGCAAGTGGAAACACTCTCATCCTCTTTCCTCATGGTGAGCATGGCCCCACACCCCCCAACTTCATGCTAGGGTATCATGTGTTCAGTCAGAGCCCTTATAGTGGAGTATGCATGGACTAGCCTCTCCCTGTTAAAAGGGTCTGCCACGACTCACGGGCCTGGAAGCTGAACGGTTGCTACCTTGCTAAGAAGTATTCAGTCAGCAGAAGCCCCTTCCACCTCCTCCCCTCCCACTCACACAGACTGTCACCACCTCAGCATGGCCCGACGACACTCCCTGAGTCAACAAATGAGGGGCTTGTCAGAGCGCGCACCACAATTCCTCAGAGATTCTGGTGAGGGAGGATCTAGATGTGCAAGGCTTTGGTTTCTTCCAACTGTATCGCTATTCGCACAGGCCGGGTCTGATCACAGCACATTGGTCACAACACGCTCGGCGTTAGGGCCTCGAGAAATAAAATACCCCTCCCTCTGAGGGGTGTTTTCCAAACTTGACCTCATTTGTACCCCTAGTTTTCTCTCTGCTGTTCCTAAACAGGGAAGTTTGACAAACAAGAAATCTGATCGACATATTATTTATGATCATGACACTTTGCTGCAGTTTTTCAAAACTGCTTCTATTCAAAGACCAAGAACAGGAAAACAAATACTGTGTATTCAGATCTGTAATGCATAATCTGAGCTGAACATGCTGCTGACCTCAAGATAACTTTCTCAATGAATAACCCCCTCACCCCCACCCCACTTTAGCAGAGAGAGTGTAACTAGAGTTGTATGGGATCCAGACTCCGCCCATTACGCAGGAACAAGTAAAACCTCTGAAGAGCAAGTGTGTGTGTGTCTGTGTGTGTGTGTGGGGGTGGGGGGGGGGTTGCATTAGCTAGGTGGGGTGTTGTCCAAAAATCCACTAGAATCTTTTTGACCTGAGGAAACAAAAATACCCAGAGAGCATTCTTCTGCATCACACACTGGTAGAGAAAAAGGATGGGAACTGGTCGGCGTGCTGGATAAGCTCGCTCTACAGCTTTTCAGTGTATTCTGTGAAATTTGAACAAGTGCATTTCTAATATGTGCACATGGTACTTAATCTGTGGTGTGAAGCTAGCTGGTTTGATTGCATATAAAGTTATCAGGTCCTTACCACTATCCATGCATTCCTGAGATGCCTCTGTGGTGCTGTGTTAAAGTCTTGTGTAATATTTAATACCTCTGCATCCTGTGGGGTCATAGATATTTGGACCTTTCCCAATGTTTTATTTAAAGCTGGCTGTGATACAACACTAGCACCGATTGGGCTGTCTGTGATGAGCGGGCCCTACTTTCAGCTCTGTTCCCTAGATAGAATGCACTTGAGTGTGTGAGGGAATGTGGCTTTGCTGGCGCTGCCCTCCTGCACACCTCTTTCCTCACAGCCGGGGCCTCGGTGGTGTTGGCTGTGAGAATGAAGCCCTTTGAAGCGGGTCTCATTGCTTCCTGTATGACTGCCTGTGGGGGTGTTTAAACACATTGACTCTATGTCTGTCACATTGTCTCTGACATCAGGGGCTCTTTATGTTTGTCACAGCTGACCAGCTGCTGCTGTTAAAAGGACATGTTTTTGGACTGTGAACTGCATGAAGTAACTTCCACATTACCAATATTTACATGCAGTGAACCAGAACATGGCTGGATTCATCAGCCACAAATTGTGTCCTTAAAGTGACAATGTGTAGTTTTTACCATTAATCTCTGGATATATCCATTAAAAGGTTGAAAATTAATTAAATAATGCCCAGTTATTAAAAGTATTTTGGCAACTTCGTAACATACAACCATATAAATCGGGTCTAAAGTACACGGGAGCGGGTCTTAAGTCCCAGTCCCAATACTCGCACTGCGCCCTATACCTTCAGCAAAGGGGACTTGGAGGAAGTGTGCAGTAAGGCTTCGAGTGCGTGGTACACAAGTGGGCAAGTAATTGCCAAATTGGGACAGGGAGCATTGGGTCATCGACTGCAACTTATGCAGGGATGCTGGTCGCTGTGATACTTTTTAAAAGAAAAAACTTTATTAACAACTTTCAAATAAACAAACTAAAATTATTTGAAATAAATTTACATTCATTGCTGCTTTGTCTAAAAAATTCAGAGCATAAATTAATCATCCTAAAATGAACTACTTTCATTTGAAAATACATATTTTAAGAAAAGGCACTTGTCTCGCTTCTCTCGCAGCAATGGATTGTGGGTAATATCCTTCATCTAAGTTCGCATCGATGTGGACTTGAGCGAAGTGCGGATCAAGGGTGCAAAAGGGGCACGATCAACTTCCCCACTTGCACCCCTGGCCGGGAACGCCCAATTGAAAGGCACATGTATGGAAGTGTGTGTTGTGATTGGGTCTAAGTCTCTGGGCGATGCTATATTAGACTCCATGTTTCCTCCTGCGGGAGCCCGTGAGGAGAGAATGCGTTTACTGATTTGTAACAAGCGGTTACAAAACTTTCGCCATTCATAAACATTGTTTTACACATTTACCTCTTCACTTGTTACCAGTGCAGAAAGGGAGTCTGATGTGCTTTTTATTTTTCCAGAGGTTGTGCTATCAGGGATTTTTGACCCTAATGGCCATCGAGCCATCGGTGCGAGCTGAGATCACAGGTGGGAATCTGATTTGTTAGGTCAAGAAACAAGATGGCATGCAGGGCGATGTGACTCAATGTTCACATTTTTGCAGAGAAAAAGTAGATTTAATGTTTCTAGACATGAATGGCGTGTTTGTTGCTTAATACACAACTTAGACTCCCACGGGAATTGCCTACCATTTTCCCCTTGCAGATGTTGGCAGGTTTGCTAAAGCCAGTATCTCACTGGGCTGCAAAATTTTGGAGACAAATGTAGATGTGTGCAAAGTCAGTATTGAACAACAGCCAGCATATGGAGAGTTATGTGACTATGAAGATGAAAAAACACAACAGCTGATGTGCAAATGTAAAGTGCTGTCATTAATATTTTGGCAATTCCATAATGTCTTAGAATGAGAAAAATGCGCATTTCACTCTTACACTTTTGCAACATTTGACATTTGCGTGGGTCACTTAAGCCATAGAGTGATTGCTAGTATATTGGGGTCAATTGTGTTGCAATTTAGCCACTAAATTGTTCAGTTACATCTCAATTTGTTAGCAATTTTCCCCTTTTCTTTTTCAATTATTTTTTCTTTCCGATCACCAACCCCTTGCATGGTTTTATCACATTAGTCATTCTTGTTTGACCCTCATACATTAACTGGAGATGCTTCAAGATGAGTTAGTGGGTTAATGTATGCCTTGACGCTGTAACACAGTTGATTCACCTGTTCGGCAGCTCCTCGGGCTCTGCAGAAGCCATTTAATCACCTGCTTATTAATACCCGGTGTGTGGAAGCAGGGAAACCTCTAAAACGTGCTGGATAGTGGCTCTCCAAGACCAGGGTTCCATACCCCTTCTCTAGAACATGACAATATCCAGTAACATTAAGAAAACTTTTAAAAAATCAAACAAGAAATTGCTCAAGTATTGCACTGCATCATGAATGCTTTTGTTTGTGTCTTTAAGACTTATTTATCTCCCTCAATAACTTCATACAAATCCTGATGCATACATTTACACGCCGTAAACAAATTAAGTTGTGCAGTCAATACTAATCACAGTTGGCCATCTGTCAGGAAGAGGCAATGACCGCACTTCACGTTGTTTCCCGAGTGTCACAGACAGTGGAAATGCACAGAATAATTAAACAGCCAATCAAGGCATGTGATGTTTCTTCTGATTATAACAGATTAGACTAGGGCAGTGCTCGCTGATCTGAGTCTGAAAGCATGTGATTCTTGTTCTGCTGAGATCTAACTGCAAAGCAAATCTACTGTAGACATCAGTTGTTAGATTTGCAAAAGATAATACCCTTAAAATGTATCTGAATAGTGCAAGTAATTGTCATTCCCTTTTTTAATTTTGTGGATAGCTTTATGAAGACACATACCTTTAATAATCCTGCTGCTCATGCATCAACTGTGC